CCAAGATAGGAGATCTTATTGTATCCCAGACAAATAGCTTTCCAATCTTTTCTTGAAGATCTCGGCAATGGAGTCTCCACAACTCCAGGAGACTTCACCATAATAGTATTAATCAGCAGAAAATTATGTGGCATAAATAGATGAATCCTTTTCTGTCTTAATATCAGAGCTGATGGATGCTGCTATTAATTACAGTTTTAATGCAGGACAAGCTAAGTAAAGAACAGCAGAATAACAAAATAACAGAAAGGACTTTGGAGGTCTTCAAGCAGAAAACCCATTTCAGACAAATGATTGTCCAACCTCTTCTTAAAAACATGAAGCACCCACAACCTCTGAGGCAAGCTGTTCCACTGATTAATTGTTCTAACTGTCAGGAAATTTCTCCTCATTTGTAGGTTGGTTCTCTCTCAATCAAAGTTCTTTATTCAATTTAGGGGAAGGGGGAAGCAGTCATCAAATTAAATAAAAAAATATGCACTCTGATTTGATGCTTTAAATTGATTCAGCAGGAGTCAATGAAAGAAATGGTTTGATCAAAATCACCTTTTGACTGAAAATCCAAATTGACTCCTCACAGGACACAATTGAACGTATAAGGGAAGGGTGGTAGAAAAATACCCCTAATAGTTCAGTATTACATATTATGTCAATTGACCCAGTCCGGTAACAGGAATCTCTATAGGCAGAAACATATTTCTAAAGTTGCAAGTAGCGAGAAAAAACATGCATCGGGAATGGCGCTCATATTGCATTTAGCACCTCTTAGGCTCGTTGACTGCATAATTTCATAAATAAGGGAGTGTCTATCTCACGGGTGTCAAACTCGATTTCATTGAGGGCCACATCAGGGTTGTGTTTGACCTCAGGGGGACAGGGTGGGTCTGGTCAGAGTGGGAATGATCTGCTCAATGTCACTCATGTCAGGGGCACCTGTGACTGCCCCAGCGCTCTGACAGCAAAAATGGACCTCAGTAGTTTTATTGCAAGAAGTCTGAATTCTCTGGATTATAATTCAAGGTGCTAGTCGTAATTTATAAAGCCCTTCATGGTATTGGATCTGGGTACTTGAGAGACTGCCTGCTGCCGATTACTTCCCACAGACCCATTAGATCTCACAGGGTTGGCCTCCTCCGGGTGCCATCTACCAGCCAATGCCACCTGGCTATTACCCGGGGGAGGGCCTTCTCTGTGGCA